AGATATCTTGAATATTTAAAAACTTATTCCGGAATATCTACGTAAATATACATATATATATATATATATATAGTTTGTAAGTTCAAAATAATTTCCAAATATTTTACACATTATATTAATTAACAATTTTGTACAAATCTGCAGTTTCACGACGTTTTAATTACTTACCTTTAAAGCACTTTTAATATCATAGGTTACCAACTTTTTACTTTCTAATGCTTGAAGTACTGATCCCATTGTTACCAATTTCTTTTGCGTACGTGACTTTTGTACCATACTTGTTTTGTGCAAATATCGATTGTATTTCACACATTTCATAAACTTCAACCAGGCTTCATTATTTACAAAATCTGTTTTTCTTATGCATTCAACGTTGGTTTTCCCACTTTTTATATAAAGTTTGTCCATATTACTAGTATCTCTTGGTTTACTGAAAAAAACTTTCATTTATAGTATTCGCAATTATAAGAGCGACATGCAATAAATTTTTTTCCCTTATTGTTTTACCTTTTCCGACTAATACCGTTGTTGTTGGCACTTATTGATTTAGCAATAACATTTCTTTCTTCAACGTAGGTTGTTGATTGCTGAATATCCGCTGTCGATTGCTGTTCAACATCCATTGTTGCTTGATGCTGAATATTCATTGTAGAATGTTCTACATTCATTTGTACTTCATTAGCATGTTGATTATCACTATTGTTTGTCGAGTCCTTATGAACAGTTTCTGAACTATTATATAAAACAGTAAGCATAGATGACTCCTTTTTAACCAGATGTTTTATACATACTCGTATATAAGTATAATCTTATGTAATGTAAATACTCTTACCTTTGCATAAAAACAGATGGAATTGCAGTCTTGTTTAATCTCCTACTTCGTATAGGTGTCCCACTGTTAGAATAATCATCATCTGTAAAGTGGTCACTGCAAATTCGTGCGTTTTTGTAAGCATTGACAATATAACCAATGCTACTACACCACTTTTCTCGCCTTTCAGCATCTTTTGGAAAACTAAACATATTATTACATTAATTTCAACTAAAGTTTAGATATATAAAGTTATAAGCTCTAATCATATCTCTAGATTTATACATTACCTGTGAAATTGTCGTGGTAATAGAGGTGAATGCTCTTTCCAGCATATGCAACACTGAACCATTGTGTGCTTTAAAATTGTGTCTCTCCTCTGTAATTTTTTTTATGACAAATATTTATTTATTTACCTATTCCATGCATACAACATAAAACACAACCTTGCGTATAGAATTTCACGTTTTTACTGTCATAAAACAAGGATAAGCAAAGCGAGTTATAAGCATGTGATGGTTCATAATTAATAAACAAAACTTACATTTTGTATTCTTTATCTTCACACATACTTATTAAATACTTACTGCAAAGTACAATCAATCAGCATATATATGTAGCTTGCGCGTTCTTCGTTCTCTTTAACCCACTTCAATTATACTATACGTACAGGTTAGTAACTGCTTCCCCTTATCCCCTCTTTTCGCGTGTGCGAGAGAGAACGCACAGACACGAAACAGAGTGCATCCTTTTCTACGTGAGCTCTACCCCCACTCCGCCAACCAGCAGTCTAGATATACTATGTCTATGGTGGAAGCAGACGAGACCGGCAACAGCGCACAAATACATGCACGATTTTAACTCTCCCCACCACGCTCCACCCTGCAATCTCTCCTCCTCCTCAACTCTAAGCCAATAGCCATCGGGTACCTTCAGATTGCAGTGCCATCTATTGGTACCTAAAGATACAACCATCGGGGATCGGTTTTGGCCGCGTGTCCCGAATATACAGTTCGGTCTCCTTATCTCTATTCTTCATGACCACGACGACGACGTTTCTTTAAAAAAATTACGTGAAAATTCCGACCCGTGGACTTTGCATTGCAATATCTCTACTCATGGGGCACGTAGGAAAAAAGTAAAAATACTTTTATTATGCAAATCGTACCCAAGCTATCGATTAAGCGCAGTCTCAAGTTCGTGGGATCAGCCGTTGTTGAGATAAAAAATCTGAGGGCCCCTCAAGTCGTGTACTCGCGTAAACTTACACGGTCGGTCTCGCGCGCGTGGTACTAGCTTCGCTTACACTTGGCGCGAGACACTACCGTGTCTCGTGATTATCAATGAGAATCGCAATGGATTTAGGACGCTCATTACAACAACGTTTAAGGTCGATACAGAACGGAATAAAAGAGACAATATTAGCAAAAGTTCTTTCGACATTACTTTAAATACAGATAGAGATACATCCAATGCATCTGCGCATGCACATACGAAAAAAATAAAATTGGTTCTCTCACCAAAACAATGGCTTAAAATTAGCCCGCAAAAAAAATTTCTAGTGGACGTATCTATTGGAAATTCAAAGAAGGATGGGCCGATGTGATCGCCGAAAGAATATGCCAACAGTATAGTGGGGTAGATTGCGTATTTTCTTTCAAAAACAATTTAATAACCCCACCCGCATCTGCCGAAACATACGCCAAATTTATTGGTTACTGCACCGAGTGTAAGGCTAAGATAACTGGTCGATTGGAGAATGCGCCGATGAAAGATGTTGACGTGATATTTTCATGTAACATAGAAGGTATTCTCCCTGATTTTCACACGGGCAATAAAAAAAGACAATTGCGTGGCCAACGACGGGAAAAAGTTTCGCGTGAATTAATTGAACAAAAAAAGATGCAGTCACTTTTAGGCGAGATGAAGCAAAACGATTAAAGAAATTTGGCGGAAAAAATCTACCAATCATACCGAGTGCTGCTGTTCTACGCAAGGCAAAGGAACAGCAATTGCTTAAAATACACGGATTGCAATTTGCAAATCCACCAATGAATCTGCTCCATCAAGCCAAGTACGGAAAATACGCCGGATCTATCCATAATATCGGTTTGCTAAAATTTAATTGCATATATTGGACGTTGGAACAGCAACAAATCTATATAGCCCGGTGTAAAAAAGATCCTAACGCTATTATGGCTCTCGATGCAACAGGAGGTATATCGAAACGAGATTCGAAGCACGAGCCGCACGTGTTTTTACACCAATGTGTGTTGGTGACTAAAGAAGGTAGTGTGCCAGTCTTTCAGATGGTGTCCGCTGATCAAAGATCTATACAAATAGCACACTTTTTAAAATTAATTTTATCGAAAGGTGTGCCCCGTCCTCCTATAGTCGTGTGCGATTTCGGGCGCGCTTTGGTGAACGCTGTAGCCGAGGTATTTGGAAAATGTACTGATTTGCCAAATTATTTACAGATATGTTACAATACTGTTGTAAAATGTTCTTCTATAATACCAGCGTCGTACATAAGGCTCGACGTCAGTCACGTGATCGCCATGGTATCCCGATGGAAATGCCTGAAAACGAATGTAGCCGCGGTACGACGATTATATTTACGTTGTATTGCGCAAGCATACCAGATGCATTACTTTGAGACGCTGACGTATTTAATTGAATTTACTTTACCATATTTGTATAATTTCGTCTATCAATTCAAAATTAATTTATCTATTCTCTCTATCAGAAGCAAAGTTTTATCTATGATTGCAATCAATCTGATTCTACAGGCTGTGGGAAAACAACAAATACCATAACCTTTGTTTACGCTAAATTTGAAACGAAACAACATTGACTATATTTCCATCGAGGGTCAAAGTCGGGCTAGAGTTGGGTCAGAATCGGGTTGGGGTGAGCGCTTTGGTTTCTACCGCAAGAGAGCTCACCTCAACCCGATTCTGACCCGACTTTAGCCCGACTTTGACCCTCGATGGAAACATATACCTAATATAATCCATGTAACATTATAGGTATCTCGGATTTAGAGTGCATTCTCTGAACATGCAGTAAAATATTTCTTTAATTTTATTTGCATATTGTGTAATATAATACGAGAATGTTTGTATTTTGCAGTAATGTAATCAAAACTGGTCAGCGAAGAGAAAATTTATAAAATGTCGAAAAATAAACATTATGCTTCAATTGAAAAAAAAATTTTCTTGGAAATATTAAAAGATTTTAAGCACGTAATTGAAGTAAAAAAAAGTGATTGTTCAACACTTCGGGATAAAGAAACAGCGTGGTCTGAAATCTGTAAGCGGTACAACGAATCTGCAATGATTTTTCAAGAGGTAAATATAAAGAACCGTTATTTTGAATTGTATTGTGTAAGATGAATCACGATTGTTTACGATTTATTTTAAGTTTTATAATATATTTAATACTGATTGAATAAATGTTCTTTTACAGCGTACAGTTCAACAACTGAAAAAGCTATGGACAAACATGAAACAGAATCAAAGAGAAATATTGACGAAAGAAAAACAAGCACGTCTGGCCACTGGTGGTGGTCCACCACCACCAGAAACAAATATTGATCCTGACGTAGCCATAGTTGCACCGCACCTTTTGGAAACAGCTCCTATCCTTTTTAGTTCAAATATGACGGATGAGAAAATTAATGGTAAGTAGATTTAAAATATATTTATAAGCAAATTATTTTACTATTTAACGTTATAAATGTATGATAAAGTATTTAACAAAAAATGTTGCAAATTTTTATATTTACTTTATTTAATCCAAATTTATGTATTTTATTTATGTTTCAGAGATGGAAGAACAGACTCTGAACATTTTACTAGATAATAATTGGACTACTGCGTCATTTGAACACAACAATGAGGCAAATAATACAAACAAAATACAAAAAGGTATGTTAAATTGAAACAGATTAAAAATAAAACGTATTTATATATCGTACATATCATATATCGTTATGCACAAATGTGGGAAAATCGTCTTTATTAATAAAATTTATATTGAGTTTGTATTATTGTACATTCTCTCTCTCACAAGATTATGTAATTATATATATAATAAAAAATATATTTGCATGTTTAAAAAGTAAAGTTTTTGTTTAAAATTTAGATTAATTATTGATTTCCAGGTGAAGTAACAAATAAAGATATTACAGAAGATAAAGAAAATCAAAATATTGATTTTTCCAATAAAGGTAATATCTAGTCTGGTTTATACAGGCCGTAAACCATCAATTTATTATATATCGAAACCGGTAAATTCAACACTGTAATTTTAATGCTTTTGCTCATAATAAATTCTCGAACGCTGGTAACGTATGCCGTTAAGTTCACTCAAATTAACTTAAAGTAATATGTAAGTGAACGAAAGTATTAAAATCGCAGTGTTGAATTTGCTAGTTCATAAGTTTACGGTTTACGGTCTGTGTAAACCAGCCTTTAAATAAATCATTCTTAATTATCTCTTATTGATGTCTTTGTTGATTAACTAATGAAATATTATTGTATTGTATTTTACAGAAAGTTTTTTGAAGAGAAAAAAGAGTTTAAATACTGTTCGTGTACAAAATACGAAAACGAGAAAAGTATAGGAAAATACTATTGAAACTTCTGTTTACAATGAAAATACTATAAAGATTGAAAGAATAAAACAAATTATGGGACAAGAGAAGGAAGTTGCAGAAATACAAAAAGCTCATGAGGAAAAAATGGCTGCAATGAAAGAAGATTTTCATAAAGAAATACATGCTCTAGAAATTAGAGCAGCTACTGCAAAGGCTGAACTAGCTGAGTTACAGTTGAAAAAAGAAAAAGAGAAATATGTTCTTTAAGAATATAAACCAATGTTCCTTAAAATTGAACAAGTACAAAGTATTTTATAAGTTATTAAAAGTAAATGAGATTTTTTAAAAATAAGTTATTAAAATTATGAAAGATTATTTTTTATAATTATTATTATATATCAATGCAAAAAGTGATATTAAAATAGATATTTACTAGTATATAAATATTACTATATAATAATGTGCATAGGTGATATTAAAGCAAATAGATGTTTCTGTGATTTGTGTTACTTTTTAAAAGATATCAAAGTAATCATATTTACAATTACAAAAGTTTATTTTAAAAAAATTACATTCTCGTATTATTAAAGTGTATGGAAGAAAAAATAAAAATTGTTTTGCTTAATTACTATTTTATATTCATTACATTATCCATAATCAATATTATCTAAATAGTCTTTCAATCAGTTCTGCTCGCATCACAAAACCTTCTCCTGGTTCCCAATGTGGTGCATCAACTGGTACTTCTTCCATTTCATTAACTTCTTCAAATACTTCTTCTTCTGGTAATACATCATTAAAAATTAATGAAAGATTATGTAGCACAGCACAAGCAACTACAATTGTAGTTGAACATATTAATTTGTTGCTCAATCCTCTAGACAAACACGGAAATCTACGCTTCCATATTCCAAATGTCCTTTCAACAATTATTCGTGTTCTTCTGTGAAGTATATTATAACTGTAATAAAAAATATATTTTTAATTTAATTATTAGGTTTTTATAGACAATAAATGGATAACAAAATTAAAGATATAATACTAACGTGATTTCTTCATCTGTTTGTGGATTCTGAATAGGAGTTAAAAGGAATGGTAAACAGGCATATCCCGCATCTCCTACTAAAATGCCTGATAATTGACGTTCAACGTATTTCATATATATTCTAGAATTTTGGAAAATTCTACTATCATGCTGGCTTCCTGGCCATTCTGAGACAATATCTAAAAATTCTGTTCTGGGTCCAATAACAGCCTACGTGTAATATATGTACATATATTAAAACCAATAATTTTTAATATTCTACTGCGTATAATAATTAACAATTTTTCTTTAAAATTATGCTATGCAATTAAAATTAAAACTTTGCTATTATATTAAAATTGCTTTATATTTACATATATGTAATACATACTTGTACATTCAATGAAAAGTATCCCTTTCGATTTCTATATATTTCGTCAATGTTTTGAAACCTAGTATGAACTAAACGCACATGTGTGCAATCAATCGCTCCTTCAATACCAGGTAACCCAATGCCTCCATCACCACGTCCTATATCTTTAAAAAGCCTTTGATTTTCTCTTGTCGCATCTGGTGTAAGAGGCATCTTTATAAATTGCTTCAAAAGCCTTGCTAGAAGTACAGACACTCGAAATACTATTCTTGATACAGTTGGCTGTGAAACGATTATTGTGTCTCCAAGTACTTGCTGTAAGAATATTTTGTAAATATAATAAACAATTATCTGTCAGTTTAGGGATTTCAACACCTTGTATATGTATATTGTATATATGT